GGTGGCTTGTGCTCGTTTTCGCAATTTCCGTAACTTCCTTCGCTCAATTGTAAGGTCTTCAGTCCACCAGGAAGTTGCTGTACGTGGACAAAACCTTCTCATTTTAAAAGCATTTTTACAAGCTTGTATGCAAAGTGAAGTCATTTTATTGTAAGTGTTATCCAGATCTGAAGTTGAGCTACAATCTTGAAAAGAACGGATTAATGATGAAATGTGAGGAGAAAAACAGCTACGAAATTTATCTTTTCTTCCAAAGAACGTTTTAAATCTTAATTTGCCTAGGGATCTTAGAGTTGGAGATAAATTGAAAGTAATAGCTCAGTGATCGCTCAATGTAATGCTATCACTTACTGTCCAATCTTTTATAAAAGGAGAAATGGAAGGAGAAGTAAGAGTCAAATCTGTCCAACCCTTGGCATGTAAAGTATCGAAGGTTGGAGGAGCATCTGATTTATTAAGAAGAATCAAATTTTGAGAATCTATAAAGTCCAAAAGCGGAAGGGATCTAGAATTTTCATAGGGATATCTCCAAAGGGTGCTGGCAGCATTAAAATCTCCACCTAATATAACATTTCCAATTGGGTTTTCCTTTAGATAAGCTGATTCATGTAAGAATGCATCTATGTCCTTACTAGGCGGAAAATAAGCTGAAATAATTAGCAATTTTCCTTCAAGAGTATCAATCAGAATCGAAACGCTGTGCTCAGTTTCTTTCCACAAAAGTGGGGACAAAGGTCCATTGTACACGATTGCAGCCAGATGGTTTAAGGAAAGAAATGTTTTGTTAGAAGATAAAGAGCCAATTAGTAAATTTTTGGACGTAATATACAGCTCTTGATAAAGACCCACTGTACACCCCAGTTCAAGCTGTATTTGATGAATCTTCATGAAACCAAGACTACTAGAACCGGCAGACATGTGAAGTTCCCCAGTCACTTTAAAGACTATCTTCCATAATCGCTGTCACTAGGAAGGGGGTGTGTAGTGTCGCTTCAGTTCCGTCAAGTTTCTAATTAAATTTAGTTAAAGCAGAATGGCAACACTTTCTAGTCTCTGCGAAGAACAAAGTAAACAAAAAGAAAGATTTCCTAGTGAAGAATGGTATACTTTACAAGCTTGACAGTGGTCGGGAGCTACTTGTGGTACCCAAAGCATTAAAGCTACAAATCATACGTAGTATCCACAACAAGGGCAATTCGCAGTGTCTAAAATGGAAGATTTGCTGAAAATCGACTTTTATATTCCTAACTTTAGAAAACAAATGGAATAAGTTATCTCCAATTGTGTAGAATGTATTTTGTGCGACAGAAAACAAGGTAAGGGCGAAGCGTTGCTGAATCCCATACCAAAAGATAATATCCCTTTGAGCACTTTTCATATCGATTTTATAGGACAATTACCTTCGACAAATAAGAACTACAATCATATCTCAGCCGTGGTTGATGCATTCACGAAGTTTGTGTGGCTCTATCCAGTAAAGTCTACATCAGCTCAAGAGGCATTGCAGAAGCTGAAACTGCAACAATCAACTTTCGGTAATCCTTTGAGAATTATAAGCGACAAAGGCACAGCGTTTACCTCTAAAGACTTTGAAGATAGTGTAGTCAAGAGAAGATTCAGCATATATTTACAACTACAGGCATTCCTAGAGGAAACGGACAAGTGGAAAGAATTCATCTCGCTCTGATTCCAGTCCTATCCAATTTATCCAACCAAGTGGTACAAATATGTTGGAGATGTACAAAGGATCTTGAACAGTACTAAGAGCAGAAGCACAAAGATTTCTCCATTTGAGCTACTCACTTGTATTAAAATGAGAAATCAAGAGGACTTAAAGATTATGGAAATTCTCGAAGAAGAAAAATATATTATGATGAAAGATCAAGAAGATATGAGACAGGAAGTAAGGAAAAACATTCTAAAAATTCAGGAAGAGAATAGAAAAACATACAACAAGAAGAGAAAAGAGGCACAGGTATACAATGTGAATGACTTAGTCGCCATACAAAGAACGCAGTTTGGAGGTAGTCTAAAGTTAAGGCCAAAGTTCTTCGGCCCATACCGTGTAACAGCGAGGAAAGGTAAAGATTGCTACCAGGTGGAAAAAGTGGGACACCATGAAGGTCCTGCATGTACCACTACAGCAGCTGATCACATGAAGGTCCTGCATGTACCACTACAGCAGCTGATAACATGAAGGCTTGGACTGCTACTCTATAGGACTATGTGGTTCTTTCTCCCACGCAAAGGTGGTAAGATGTTCTCCACGAGAAGGTGGTAAGACGTAGGTCTACATGTGAAGGTGTTAAATAATTAACTGTATATTTCCACGAAACTGCACAATAACTATGTTATAAAATAACATAACTATGCTGTATAACTATGTTATAAAATTGGCAAAAGCTATCCAGAATCCTGTTTGTATTCAACGACATTGTGACTCGATTTAATGTACCTTTTCCTTGTTATTTTTATTAAATGTTCTGTTGTGTGGAAAACATTGGACTTGTTAATTGACCCTAGCAAAGCATCTTCAACTCCCCTACCACATATATATCTAAAGATGTGGTTTCACCCATTGATACATGGGACCTAATATTTGATGACACGATTGAAATGATTGTGAAATGCTCTAATACAGTACACAAAGTCCGAAATCCGGACTGGTTGGGACTTTGGCAATTTTGGATTTGGGATTTTTCCGGATAAGCTTAGCCTAGCTTATACCGTCCATTATACATTAAACGCGCATGCGTAAAGCATACCAAAAAAAAGTTTGTGGCTTTGAGGTCCAGATTATAGATCATTCCGGATTAAGGACTTTGTACTGTACTACTTGTGTTTTATTTGTTATTAACCTTTTAACTGTCATGCCCGACTGGTATTCCAAAATGTCACGCCCGAATATTACTCGGGCTAATTTTTTTTTGAGTGCATCATATTGTTATACACGAATATATACGTGAGACGTTTATTTCAGCTTCAGTTCAACAGATGGCAGCATTTGACTGAAGGTTTCAAAGGATAGAGATTAAAGTTCAAAGTGCATGGCCTTTTTTTTTTCGATTTTTTGACTTGAGGCAAACATTTCATTTTTGGAAAAAAAAAAAAATTGACAATTTATGCACCCAAATCATCAAAATAACTTGACAGTTAAAAGGTTAATTTTAAAATGAACATTATTTTTAAGCTATTTTATATAATAAATGTTGTAATTAATACAGAATGCATTCTTTTACTGAATTGTAATAATATATTTCATTTAATTGCTTGGGGTGTGCATTTTTGTGTTACATAATACAGCGCATGTTCTCCCGAGTTAATAAAATTTACTCTAAAAACTTAGCAAGCTTTCATAATTTGTTTATTTTTTGTTCAAATTCAAGGAAGTTATCTAATCATTAATTACACACATTAGAATTATTTGAAAGCAATGTCAGTTTAAGAATTTAATAGTTAGCTCACAGGCACCAAACATTAGATTTCACATAGAAAACTATTAAAAAATTTCAAATTTTGTTTCAGTTTTTAATACAGTCAAAAGTCGTTAATTTGGACACCCATAATCCGGAATGATCTATAATCCGGACCTCAAAGCTAAAATCTTTCTGCGCATGCGCCGCATTGACGCATTTTACTCGTGCGCCCAAGACATTTACGACTGCGCATATGCATCTGCGCAAGTGCAGAATACGTTTTCGCGTGCGCGTTTAATGTATAACGGACGCTATAAGCTAAAATTATCTAATTATCTATTTCAGTTAATGTTGATGATTGCGTTGTTCCTTAATCTTCGAATTGGATCCGGCTTATTATTTTTTGCAGACTGTAAGAGCAATTTTCTAAAAGTAAGCTTGAAGTTTTGATTATGTCAAATAGAATTTCCGATGCTGGAGCTCCCAAAGGATCTAGAAAACGAAAGTATGTTTCGATGTCCATCAAACAAAAAACGAATTGCTACAAAAAATGGATAAAGGCATATTCTTTGTTTATCTAACCGTTCCGAAATCTGTTTATCAATTTCACGCTGCTCTGCGCGGGGGGGGGGGAGATGTCACGGCGCGCAGTGAACTGGAAGTTGATTTGCCAATACTATCGTTATCTTCAGAGCAGATGTTTTTATTTTATTCGGCTTATAATTCTTTACTAAATGTAGTATTTAATTTCGATGTACTCCTTCTTTGATATGATTTAAATCAAATTCCTCGTCATTATAAATACCACGAATACAAATCAAATAGTTTTCTGGTTGCAATTTTCTAATTTCGGCTATGCGTAAGGTATGCTTTACGCATCCGCGCGTTCAAAGAAATGTTTAATAAAGTAAACAAATAAATATTAGGCTTCTTTTTTGGTAAATTTTGATACCCTTTAGATCATAATTGCTCATTATTTTATAAATTACGGTTTCATATTTTTAATTTTATAATTTCTGCATGCCACCTTACCAGATTTAAACTGATGATCTATAATCCGGAAAAATCGATAATCCGGAATCGCCGAAGTCCCGACGAGTCCGGATTAAAGACTTTTGACTGTACAACTATTGTTTATATATATTTTGTATATAAACAATAGTTGAACTAAATTAAAATATTTTTTTTATTTTGTTAATAAAATATTTCCTTAAAAAATGTCTGCTGCTCATCTATTTTTAAATTGTGCATTCAGCCTGCATGCAGTTTAAGTGCAAGACCATTAGTTGAAATTATTCATTTACTTTCTTGAAAATTTTACTCTTTACACAACTTATGGATCTTGTATGCAATGTTTATATCAGGTACTATTTAAAATAATAAATTATATTTACAAAAATATTACTTTTAAATTAAATTCATTATTTATAAACAGAAGTCACTTTATAATTGCTTTTCAAAGAAATTTTAAATATTATAAACCTGTAAGAATTATAAATTTAGAAAATGCTGATTTTCTTAAAAGTTAATTGATATTGCAAAATTACTTAAAGTTTAGCTTCAATGTAGTATTTAATACAGTACCTGCAGAAATGCATTTTCTATAAAGTTATTAACATCAGTATCATATGAGTGCCATATATCATGACTATCTCCATGCCATTCCCAAGTAAAGCCTCTACCCAGCACAACACTATTACTTTCACATAGACGTCTTTTGACAGCTAATTTTGTTCCTAAAATAAAGGGAACACAAAATTCTACTTAATCAAAAAACCTCAAGTAAAACATCAGAAAGATCAAACTGACATAAATAATGAAATAAAATGTTTCCAATAATTTCATATTAATACCTGAAACAATTTTCAGGAAGAATGATTCAACAACAATCAATAAGTTACTATGTAGAACTATAAGGAACTCTTTGAAGTAAAATAACTTATTACTACGCACATGTACAACATCATTGTTTTAGAAAATAATATTTGGTGAGAAATACTATAATAACAATATATATTCAACTGTTTAATTTTCTGATTTTTTTTTTTTTTTTTTTTTTTTTTTTAATATGGAAGTTTCAATGAGGTATAACAATGTATTTAAGGGCTATCTAGAGAAGGCTAATATCAAGGAAGATGTTCAGATCAAAAATTGGTTCAAAATTTCAGATGAAAAATTGGTTCGTGTTTGCAAGACACCAATCTGTTCTTTGGCAATCATATAACAGATAAAATTATCAATGTCCACTGTTTTAACCATTGTTTCCTAAAAAAAAAAAAAAAGAAAGAAAGAAAGAAAGATAAAAAAATAGTACTAAAATTTTCTTAGTTAGCTTTGTTTATGTAATTATATACTGCTAACTTGCACACAGTTACAGAATTGTTATAAAATGAAAAAATTAGAACTTCTTAAAAGGATACTGAAATACTATAACTCTCTATAAAAAGGAAGCAAAAGTTCAGAGTTATGCAAAAACACAGTTATAATCAGGCTATAGCAAGCAATGTAGAAATGTTCAGAGAGTATCGAAAATGGAACTTTTTCTCATTAATTATTAATGTGGTTTCCATACAATGGCTATACAAATTTTTAATCTGTTCACAACAAATATTAGAGGAAAATAATAAAACTTTGGTTTAAAAATAATATAGCTCCCTAAAGGCTATAACAGAAGCTTTCTTTCTTTCTTTTAAATTACAAATGCAAAATACCCATATTACTTTTATCTGAACTCTATTCCCTTCAATATACTTGTTTTAATGTCAAACCTTATTCCTCCAAGATGCATACATATATACATTTACTTAAAGGTAACAGAACAAATACCACCGAAGATATGTATTATAAGATAAAAAATATGTAAGGCATAATTCTGACTTTTAACCTTCCAACATGCACATATATGCAAAATTTACGACAAATTCAGTTTTAAATGCACATTTTTCACATATCGAAGCTGAGACATCTGAAGGTCATTTCTATTCCTCCTTTCTACCCTTCCCCACTCTCATGGAATGTGCCAACAGGAAGTCATTTGACTTTTTTTTAACTGGGCTTTTGTGTTACGTGGCAGCTTTTTCATAAAAGTTACGACACATGCGTGGTCGTGTTTTAAAATTCGAAAAATATTTTTTTCTCAAATATTTTGTAATTTTGCGTTATTAATTGTCGTGTATTATTTTAATCTGAATACATTTGGCTCTGTGAATTTTATATCGGTTTTCATGGCAAAAAAACATGTGCAACCAGCTGAGTTTGCTCGGATTCTTCAAGAATTATCTGATGAAGAAAAAGAAGACAAGGAAACCTTTGGATGGGAGAACAATAGCAACTTCCATTCCTTATTTCCATTTCGTAGAAATAAATTAAAACATTAGGGTTAGTTTAAAGTGCGTTTTTGTAACCAGTAAGAAGTAAATTTCCTTGCAGAAGTAATGCTAAACTTACTTTTTTTCCTACCAAAGTGTTTTCCTTTTTTATTGTCTATACTTGTCTTTGATGAATATTAAAATTAGCTTCGATTTTAAAATATAATTATTAAATAATAAATTAAAAATTTTCTATAATGAAATACATCATTGCATTTCCATCTCACTAACATAAGAACTTTAAAATAATTTACTTATATTTGAATGTGATATTTATATTTTGCAATAATAAGATTAATATTTTATTTCTTTACAAATTTATTATCAATATTTACTCATTTCTGTTGTTTTTCAATCCAAAAACGGTAAAATAACAGACGTCGTAAAAAATACGACATGCACATGCTCATGTAAAATTGCCAAGCGCGCATGCTGGAAGGTTAATAATCCATAAATCTCCATATTAATTTTTGTTTTTTCCTTCTCTGTTCTAGAAATAATAACTGCTTATAACAAATTTCTCTAAACTGTGACATTTTAAATTAGTTGCTGTCACATGATTTTTGCATAATGCTAAAGAAACAGAGACTTGCATATATGCCTTAAGCAATAATACTTTTAGAAGATTAATATTAACCAATTACGCTAAATGAAAGTGAAACAAACATTTATATACAGTGAAATTTAACCTTTTTATTTGAGAACACATCACACTAGTTACACATGCAGTTTCAAAATTACAAAGGGTAATGATGTAGTTCTTTAAGAAAATTTATTGTGTAAATTTATCTTATGTTGGTTCATGAAAATAAAGTCAACAAAAATATATAGAAACAGTAAAAAGGACTATGACTGTAAGCTTATTCTTTACACAACTGATTTCAGCATTCCAAATCATTTCATATATATAAATTGTTTTGTAATTATATATATATATTATATATATAAATATATATAATCACCCTATGCATGCCCTCGTGTGTTAATACAGTTATAAAAAAACATGAAAGTGGTACTTTCAGTGCGAGTAATAATCACCACCGTGATAGTTCCATTTCAGACACCTTGTACTTAATAATAACGATATTTTTTTACAAATTTCAGAACACAGTGTTCTAAAGCAAGTCTCTTTTTTCCAAATGCCAAAAATCATTTGACAAAATATGATTACATACACCAACGTGAACTGTTTGCACAGATGATACTTGCATTGGCAGAAAACCTTTTGTTAAAAACCCAATATGTATATCTTGGTCATTTGGAGGGTTAAATGAAATGGAAAATACAAATTATTTTCATTGGTAAGCCATTTTCTGTAGCCCTTGGTTAGGTTAAAATTTATCATCATTAACTGAATTTGTGTACATTTTTATACTTTTAATCATCTTTGGACTGCTTTCAAAGCTGATGTGAAATTAATAACTATAGAAGCTTTAAATAACAAGTATTTACTATTCCAGTCTATATTACTGAATATATGCTAAACATAACGTATTGTGCAACTTGGAATTTCAAAGGATAATCTAAATTAGCCATCAATTTTTACTAAAAGTAAGATTTTGTTTTAAATTTATAACCCAATCTAGACTTTTCAATTTGTACATTAGTATTTTAATAACTTTTTCTGCATATCTCTCACTAATTGGCATTATCTGCCTTCTTGAAATCTCATCTCCAAACATGAAGGAAGATATAATGAAGACATTTAGGAAGATACTGCCTCTGCTCGTTAAAAGTGAAGTATATGATTTCTTAATGTGAATGCTAATTTGGGAAAAAATCTTTTCATATTAATGAGGAAAAAGTTTTAAGTTGTTTCTAAAAACTAGGAAATATAAAATACTTTTTCTTCTTAAAGATGAGGTACAGGTATGTCCTAATTTGGAGATTAACATAACAGTAACATTTGGAGTAAAGATACACCTATATTTTCTTCATTTCTATATTCTTCATTCCTTGAGAATGATTTTTTGTTAGAAAATACTTTCCAGGAAAGAAATTGTCACACACAAGGAATGGCAAGCTGAACAAACAGGTAAAATTATCTTGCAACATTATTAATGAAATAGCAATTTACAGTTGTTGCACTTATTGACTACGAAAAGTGTTTAAACATATTAAAGTGCTTGAGCTAATTAAATAAATTAACTTCCATTTAAAGAAGCTCTTTAGTTTGTTAAGATTTCTGTCCTACCTAAAAACTAGGCATTAATCCCCTCACTGCATATCCCACAATTTTCGCAGGCAACGTAGAAGTAACAAAATTTGCACAACCTGCGATTTCCTGTCTATTTAACCGTGTAATACGCTCTTTTTCCATTTATGGTTACATTTCGGCTTTTCTGTGATGTTTAATTATTTATTCAGATCTGGGTTAACAGATTTCATTAGCTGTCCATACTTCTGTGAAATATACAAGCATGTTTGCCCCATTTTGCATGCTCTTTTCAAAGCTCAAAGATGTCTGGCAAGAAGCATTTCGTAATTCTGACACTGATGAGAATTTCTCAGATTCCTCTGCGGATAGGTATCGGTATTTTTCTGGATCTAGAACCATACTACAGATTTTGCCATTCATGATATAAAAATTTCCTTTATATCATCTTCATTTTACCGCTTCTCCACATTTCTTTACAAAACCCATTAATTCGAAAATTTCACCTTTGTTTTGTGATATTCAAAAACTTTTAAAATTAGCGGCTATCATCATAGAATTAAGTTAATTACATAATATGTATGTATATATATATATATACAGTATAAAGTCCGTAATCCGGACTCATCGGGACTTCGGTGAATCCAGATTATAGATCATCAATTTAAATCTGGTACGACGGCATGCACAAATTATACAGTTAAAAATATGAAACCGTACTTTATGAAATAAAAGCAATTATGATTTAAAGGGTATCAAAATTTACAAAAAAAAAAAAGCTTAATATTTATTTGTTTACTTTACATTTCTTTCAATGTAAGTTGTTTAAGTTGCTTCATTTTTTGTGCCAATACTTTCTCTTTAATTCTATAAACAGACATAATTTCTTGTTCAGTTACAAAGTTCCACTGTTCAAATCCTGTAATTGCTGTGTCGAGAATACCGACTAACTTGTCAATCGAAATTTTTTCATTTTCAATAAATCTCTGTCACTTTCTTCACTATCGGAAATGGGCATATGTAAATGCTTTATTGTTTTTTTGCGTATGCATAAGTTTGTGGCTTTGAGGATTGTAGATCATTCCGGATAATGGACATCCGAATTACGGACTTTGTACTGTATATTTAATGATTTTGAATGCACAGTCAAATCCTAGAACTCTTAAAAGCTTTCTATAACAATCATGGCTGGTGGTTAAAGTATAGAGATGAA